CCTCTCCCTACCTTGACCTATTAGTTAGGCGGCACGCGACGCGTCGCTTATCGGTCACGCGTTGCGCGCCTGCCAATCCCTGCATAGGCCTAATACTCTCTTTCTCTCTCTCTCTTTCTCTCACTCTCTCTCCGCGCTCTTCAACTTTTCTTGCGCTCAACTGCGCTGGCTCGTCCTTAGCGCTGAAACAAAAGACCAAGTGTTAGGCGCATACTTAAATGCGCCCAACGTTGGCCACCACGCTTAGCCGAGTGGGGGAGGGAGAAACGCGGACGAGAGACGGGCAAACGGCCTGCTCTCGTCACAACCTTGGAGTGCATTTCGATAGCCATATGAGATTGGACATGCATACAAACATGCTATACAATAGACTAAAATATCTAACTTGTATTTTCTACAAATTATCTAGGATAATGAGCACAGATAATCTACGTATGATTTACTATGCACTTTTTCATAGCATAACAACATACGGTATTATAGCATGGGGTGGAGCATACATTGGAAGTCTCAAATATATACAAACTCTACAAACACGACTATTACAAATAATAAATAAAAACAAGTTTATAAATGAAAAAAATCCACTAAACATAGATCAAACATTCACCATGGAATCTCTAGTGTATCACTATGTCAACCTGCAAGATATGTTCCTGAAGAAAAATTCCGTAACAAGGAAAAAAACTATACAGCCCCTTAAAAGAAAATTAACAATCAGCATTAAAGATAGCTATACAAGAGCTTTAGCCACCTTCAATCAACTACCTTCTCACCTCAAAACTTTAAATGGCAATACAAAAACAATAAAGAACAAAATAAAAAAATGGATAAAAGGCCATCCATTCTAGATACAGAAATACAATGAACTACAAAATACATTGCAACAATTTACAACAAATATATTACAAACTAAAGCAACAAGGGAACTTTGATAATAGTCTACATTCAGCATTGGAAGTCCATGTGGATGTGGATAGGGATAAGTTTCTCTTGGATGTAAGGACATATTTGTGTTCACAAGGCACTTGTACACTTCATTACAATCGTTCTCATCGTCGAATGTCTGAATATAACATGAAAAAAATTAATGTATCAGATAACTACAGAAAAATAATAGAAACAATTGCTAATGTGATTAACATAGCTTGGAACTCACAACGGTTAACTATTAATACCAAAACAAAGACGGACTTAAAGAGGGAAAAAGAAACGAAACTTACATTCAAACAAAAACAGATACAACCAACATAAATTTCATTAATAAATGTGAGTATTGCACATACAAACAATTAATTGGTAACAAACATATACATTTCATAAAAGAAGAAAACAAAGAAGATCACAATGAACCAAATACAGATAAAGTAAGATATAAGCCCATAGAAACAGTATTTAAACAAATAGATGACATTGCAGACAATAATAGTATGCAAATAGAAACAAGTAAACCAAAAAATACACCAGGAAAACCGATTCTACAAACAAATAATATTCGAATGACCTATGGAGACATCAATTATCTTGGAAACAATAAAGCATTATTATACTTTTATAGAGGTATCAGAGGATATCAAACTTTCACTAATTCATTGTACTCACTTGAACAACAACCTAAATATAAAGATTTGATAGTCTTAGATGACATAGTATTCACAGCAACATGTAAATGTGATTCACATAGACAACATACTGAAATGTTCCCTCACTATAGAGTCACGTGTGCTACAGGACTTACTTGTCCTGTTAGACTAAATACATACGAAAGAATATCATATGCAAGAAAAATGAAAGCATCAATGACGACAATCGTAACGGCCAGACAAATGTTAATCAGATATTGGAGATAGCAGAACAAAATCGAAGATAATTGGTGAAGTAAGCTTTTATAGGAAGCATTCTTGCTACCAATATTAAGCCATACTTCATCTGTGAAATATTATAATCTATTACAAACCGACTCTTAGTTTTAAGTTTTTTGTTTTTTTTTATTTTTTTATTTTTTTCTTAATTTTCTTTGTTTTTTTTTTTATTTTTTTTCTTAATTTTCTTTAAGTGTTTAGTAGTTTTTAAATACCAGACCAGCGAACAGGTTTATCCTCTGCCGGGTTACAAATTTGTAATTGTAAAATTGTATAATTATTACTACTTGTTGTAATATTTTGTACTATACTCTGGTTAATAATAATAATAATAATAATAATAATATAAAACGAAAGTATTAATTTTATACTTAATAATGATAACTTTATGATTTAGGAATCTTAGATTATTAATCTAATAATTGCATTATAAGATTAGAAAAAACCGTTACAAATATGAAAAATTAGTTATAATTCAAATGTTATTAACTAATTTAAATATTTATTTTTAGAAAATACTTTGTAACGGTCGTGATTTATCTAAATAATAAATCGGTGCTCGTTAACAAAATAAGTTACTGTCACTCCCACGTTGCGAAGCTAACCGCCGCTTCGTTGAAGGAAGACTTACCTCCCGACTGTGGTGTCGACTACTTCGTCGGATGCGTGCTCGACATACTGCTTGCGCGGGGGAGTCGGTGGGTTCGGATAGCTGGGCAGAGGAGATACGTGTGCTTCTGCCCACGTTAGTAAACAAGGCGGCCGATTAATTGCAGACACCTTTTATTCGTCTAGCGGTTTGCTTACACCCCGCAGAGAAAGAGGCCGAGAGCTTTACTCAGTGACGCGTCGCTGCGTCGCGCAACGACGATACGCTAGGTTTTACCGCGAGAGAGAGAGAGAGAGAGAGAGAGAATGAGAGATATAAACGGACCGATTCTCGCACGCTTAATAAAACATAATCTTTTCGCAGATAATTGTACGCCGGTGAGATTACTCACTCCTTCTCGTTGTAGTCCCGCGCAAAACCCCTATCAACTCTTCGGTTGCCGGCCCCGTGCGCTGGCTTTCGTCGCCCAGGAGGTGCTTTCTTCTCTCTCCTCGAATTCCTTCAGCACTCGTTGAAGCTTTTGTAACTTGGGCGACGGCACTCACTCTTGGCGCACTTAACTCGATGCACCTATTGGATCCAGTTTCCAATCCTCGTACTTTTGCACTCCTTAGCTCTCTTTTCTTCTAATTCTTAGTTTCCTTTCTTTATACTGATCCTCTCGATAAGCCGGTTCACACGTGAATGTCGCTCGCGCCTGCCCCCACCCTCTCTCTGTTCTCTCCACTCGCGCACGGTTTTCTGCGCAGCTGGCCCGCGCACGACACGCGCTGGCCCTCTATTAAGTTGATTTTTCCCTTAACGAGCAGGCTCGTTACAACTTCCGAAATTAATCAACTATAAAGTTATATAAAAATTTAATAATTTTCTATTGTAAATATTGTAATATCACGTTAATTAACTTTATTGGTTAATAACTTTTGACGACACTATTTGCGATAATTGTATATTGTATAAAATTAACAAATAACAAATTCTGTAAAGTTTACATGTGTTAAAAGCTGTGACGGTAAACGTCAAATTAGCTCTGACAACCTAACTTAATCGCTGTCTGGGAGGGCAGCACCTACCGGGGGGACGAAATACGTAACGAAGGAATTCGGCACGCGAGCAGACAGAACGCGCGCGATTGAAACCGAACTAGTGAAGCATTGACCATCATTGAGTTCGCCCGCTTTCGTTTCGCTATCGACGATCTACGTGCCGTTAACGCCAACGTATCAAAGAAGGACGTGCAGATAAGTACCGGTTAGCTGTGACCGCTGTCGTCAAGGTGCCTTTCAGCAGCCCAGGGGAGAGACCTGAGCCAGCGAGGAAGCGCAGACCTCCAGGAGACCGGCAGAGTGTGTGTGGTTTCGCCATCGAGGGCGAAAGCGTGTGTGCGCGCATTCGCGACCGGCAAAGACAAACAAAAACAATTCCGCGCAGTGTGTGACTGTCGTTTTCTCCGTACGCCTGCAATAATAAGGTAAGCCGGCCAACTTAATCTCGCGATCGCGGATGCATATTCAATAATTAATTTTCCGACATTCGAAACGTGCGTATAGCGCCTCTAATAACAAAGAGCAGCGAGCGTCCCGACAATACGTGTTGTCGATGAGCGAACGTCGATGTAAACAAACGCGCGGGTCGACCTTATGTAGTATTTGAGGAATAATAAAAGGTTTAGTTCGTGTTACTAACAAGTGTTTTTCGACTCGCTTACTCCTCACAGCTTCCACTCAACTTATTATAGGTTAATTAGGATTACTGGTTGACTGACGCCTGTCTTCACATGCTCTCAGGATTGCATTTTGAGCATAGATAATTACTTTCGCCCCTTTGATTTAATTGCGCGAATAAAATATAATTAAACGGTTTTACCCCGTTACAAAGCTTACTATGGTTATTTACTTGTAATTTAAGAAAACTCATTTCTCAAAATTCACGAATGTCTCTCGAATGTTCGATGACATCTCTCCTGCAAAAATAAGCGGGAAAATCTGTGTATAAATACGCCCACCTTTGCACAGGCTAGCATTCACTTCTAGCCTTGCAAGGTGAGCGCATGAGTCTGAATAAACTTGGTTAATACCTAAGTTCTCATTGTAATTAACTGAGCAAAACTGTTCTTTCCTTATAAGTCGAGCTCGACTTATAGAACATCTCGCGCTATAAGAAACTTGGGCCGAATTATATCCTATCCAAGAAAGACTTTAGCTCTGCTTATGTGACAATTCGCACCATAAGAAACTAGGGCATCGTCTGACTTTCCCTGAAAAATTATACTTATTTATATATATTTGATTTGTTTATTAGAGTACATTTGATTTATTTATTTATCGACAAGTAGAGTAAAATTATTAGAAACAAATTCTTACTTATTAGCTAGATACGAGAGTTCGAGAATGATTATTATTTATAAGTGATACGAACATCACATGTTTACAAATGAATAAAGTAAATAATTAAGACATGATTTCTGATGTATTTTGACCCTTTGAATTCAAATCTATAATCATATAAAAGCTTTTATTTAATTTTTTCAGGAAATATCTCCAAAAATAAATAAGAATAAAATATATGAGAATGAAAAAAGTATCAACAAATCAGCTAGTGATCTAAGAAAAAAATCAATCAACTTCCTAGATCACCAATACGATGAACAAAATACAGACATTTTACGCGAAGAAATAGAAGATATATATAATATACAAGGAAAAAATGAAAAGCTACTATTGGAAGAGAAAACAATCTATTTAGGGAATTCATCAAAACTGGACTATCAGAATACAAAATGTATATCTTCCACTAACTTACTAAAGAAAAATATTGTAGAAAGGAATATAGAAATTGTAAATATAGAACAACATCTTCAGAAATTACTCCGAAGGTAATCTTTAAGAGATTTATTTTTCCGTATAGACATTTATCCTATATTTATCCTATATTTATTATTCGTTCGTTAATCATATATAAGAGTTGTGTCAGCATATGTATTTATACATGCAAAGTTAAAAGTAATGACAGCATTAGTATAAGTATTACATCAATTTATTTAACTGTTGTCTCCATAAGTACCTAATTTAATCCCTCTAAGTATATGTTCAACTACTAATGTATACATATAAAATAAAATATCGTGTATTTATATGTAGGTACGATCAATACAAAATTCACTTACGTATTTAATCGTAATAAGTATGCATAAAATGATGAATAAATGAGAGATATACGATATAGGAAACTCCATTAATTTGAATAAAATATGAAACGTACTGTTAAAGTATGTAAACTTAAACCAAGAAGAGTAACTTGCTCACTTTTTTCCGTCGTGATAAACTTGAGAGTAGGGGAACCCAACCTCTTTTTCATGGAGAAAATTGAATAAACTGGCTTATTGGTTGATACAAAAGCATTTATTCATTTTTAAAATTTTGTAACAAAACTCCTTCCTTTGTTACCAATTCTTTGCGGGGTAAGTGAGGCACTTTCGCTCAAGGCAATTGAGGGAGAGAATGAGGAGAGGCTGATAAATGAATTAGAGAAAGACAGGAATCAAATCTCACTTACAACCTATTATTATTAATCATTATTCACACTAAACATACGCACGCATAACATAATCTAAATTACCGACCAACAAACTACAAATAGAACAATAAACTACTTAAGACAATCACAAATGAACATTTCGCATTTCATCTTAATACCTTGTTACGTCTCGTGCACCAACTACGAATAGCTAATGAAAGAGACGTTCCAATATGTTGACTAGTGGTCGGATACGAGGTGTGTTCAAAAAGTAACGAGAATTTTTAAATTTCGCTGGTTTGGAGAGTCCGCTTGTATAAAACTTTTTTTTATTATGTTGGTACACATGCCCATGAAGTACGTTAAAATTTTCAGCAATATTCATTGCTTACTTTTTAAGTGGCAGCCGCTAACGTTAGACGTGTTTTTCGAGCTCGGCGATTTTCGTTTGTGAAAAAAAATGGATCAAAGAATTTGTATTAAATTTTGCGTAAAAAATGAAATAAAGTGTAGTAAAGTTTGTCAAATGTTAACAAAGGCATATAGTGAGTCTGCTATGAGTAAAGCAAGGATTTATGAGTGGTATAAGCGTTTCCAAGATGGCCACGAAAACGTTGAAGATAACGAACGACCCGGACGCCCAAGCACATCAACAACCGATGAAAACGTGAAAAAAGTGAAAGAAATGGTTATGAACGATCGCCGAATAACAATCAGAGAAGTCGCTGATGATGTTGGCATATCAATTGGCTCATGCCATCAAATTTTTTTGAATGTTTTGGGTATGAAACGTGTGGCAGCAAAATTCGTTCCAAAATTGTTGAATTTCGAACAAAAACAGCGGCGAATGGAAGTTGCTCAGGAGTCGCTAAATGAAGTCAATAATGATGCAGAACTACTAAAACGTGTTATAAAAGGTGACGAAACATGGGTTTACGGATATGATGTCGAAACTAAGGCTCAATCGTCCCAGTGGAGGCATTCTGGATCGCCAAGACCGAAAAAGGCTCGACAAGTACGGTTGAATGTGAAGGTTATGCTCACTGTGTTCTTCGATTTTAATGGCATAGTGCATTATGAATTCTTGCCACAAGGTCAAACAATCAATAAGCAGTACTATCTACAAGTTCAACGTCGTTTGCGTGAAGCAATCCGAAAAAAACGCCCGGATTTGTGGCAAAACAATTCATGGCTTTTGCACCACGATAATGCGCCTGCTCACACTTCATTGCTTGTTCGTGAATTTTTGGTCAAAAACGAAACTGTAACGATGCCTCAGCCTCCATATTCGCCAGATATGGCTCCATGTGACTTTTTTCTATTTCCAAAAATAAAGAGAACATTAAAAGGCCGTCGTTTTACAAGCATAGATGACATTAAAAGCGAATCGCTGAAAGAGCTAAAAGCTATTACAAAGATCGAGTTTCAAAAGTGTTTCGAGGATTGGAAAAAGCGTTGGCATAAGTGTATTGTATCCGAAGGGGACTACTTTGAAGGCGACAACATTAATGTAGATGAATAAATAAATATTTTTTTCATAAAACGAAAATTCTCGTTATTTTTTGAACACACCTCGTATGTCTCACTTATAATAAATATATGTGGAAATGTATGTCTGATAATTGTACTACCTTGATAATCGTAGCCTTTAATTATTGATAAAATGTAGCAGGCTCTAACTGCTTGTTGAATTAAATAAATGTAGCAGGCTCTAACTGCTTGTTGAATTGAATAGGATAGGTTTGAATAATACTTGCACGATATTACTTTGTAACAGTCGCGAGTTTATTAAGAAAAATGATCACCAATTGTCGGACCGGTGTGTACGGAGTTGAGTCTTACAGGTGCTTATTGACTGACTGACGGACTACTGATCAACTGCCTGAGTGTGTTTTGTTCATTGATTTTTATATCTTTTATAGTTCTTTTTCAGGTCAGTATTGCGATATTGTGTGACATTTTGTTTTCGCTGATTATAAATTCTTGCATTTTGGTGACTTAGTTTCGGAGTGTGTTTCGACAGCTTTTTGCTGTCGTGTGAATAGCTTAGCAGTTTTGAATGTGCATATGTTACAAAAAGGATGCGTCGTAAGGCTTAATTTCGGGGAGTCATTTACCTCGTGTTTATTTAGCTTTTTGCTGACGTGCGAATAGTTTAGTAGCTTTGAATTTCGCAAATGTTTATTTTATAAAAAGGATGCGTCGTAAGGCGTAACACCCCAGGGCCTAAGATATTGTAATATTTGCATACTTCTGAAATTCAAAGCTACTAGCGGTTTATACTGTTACGTCCTGAGACGTAAAATTAAATCATTTTGAGATCAACGGCAATCATGCGAATTGAAAGTAGCAAAATAAGCACAAAATGTATTTCACCTTCTTTTTTTTACGAAACGCAAAAATTAATAAATCAAATTCAGCAGAAAACTCAATTGAGAAATTGAAACATCAACTTGATTACTCGACAACTAAATGTAAGTCAGTAAGCCAATATATAAAACAGCGTCTCAATTTTTTAGCCAGTTGATTCGCGACTCGCGACAATTCTACTGTACCAGTTGACTCTGCCACTCATTGAGTGAAATCCAATTATTAAATAAAGTGTTATTAAATATTATTAAATAAAGTGTATCAAGTTCATTTCTATAATTTCCATATGAAATATTCTCAATAATAAAGAAACCAATTTAAGAAGAAAATAATATAAAGGAACAAGGAGTAAGATAATAATTTATCAACATCTTCAACAAATTATATATATATCCCAGGTAAGTCCTGCCATTATACATAATATATCATAATCATACCGTGATAAAATAAATTTTACTCATATTAAACAAATACATGTCACGGCTACGGAGTCGCGACATAACAAATTGGTTCCGGTACAAAAAGGGTGTTTACTTTGCATCAAGTAAAACTTAAAAAAAAAAATTTTAATTTTAATGAACAATAAAGATTCTTCTAGTTCTGACAACGCGAAAAGACTTACGCGACTGCAAGTAAAAACTAAACCAGAATTAAAAAGCGGTATAATTAAACCAAGCACATCTATTACAAATCCTTTTAAAAAATCAAATAAACTCGCGCGTTCTCCTCCTAGAACAAATAGCGAGAACAATAAAATAAAAATTTCAGAAAATCTAGAGAAGTTAAATAAACAAATAACACAAGAAAAATTAATTGATATTTGTAGTGAGTCAAAAAACTTATTAAACAAAAACGAAAATTTCGGACAATTAGTGCCTTATAATTCAAACATCCAATTACAGAAAACTGAACAAATCGAAAATATTAATACGAAAGCAAACGTCAGCGAAATGTCGCAACCGCTGAGATTACCACTCAAGTATGTCGCGGATTTAGTCCCACAGTTCGACGGCAAAAACATAACACTCAGCGAATATATCGACAAATTAAAAACTGCAAAGTCAATATTTTCTGAAATAGATGAATCAAATTTAATACCAATTTTAAAATGCAAGCTAAGTGGAGAAATTTATAAAGCACTAGCTAATATAAAAATCAATAAAATAGACGATTATATTAAAGCTATAAAACAATTATTTCCTTCTTTAGATAATATTCATAGTTTATACGGGAAACTTACGGATATTATTCAAAAACCAAACGAATCAGTTCTTACATATGCAAATCGGTTGAAAGATCTAGTTGTACAGATCAAAGAATTAAAAAAACTACAAGTAGATACTGATGAAACCTTTAAGGCATTTGAAAAAACAATAAATGAAGACGCATTAATAAATTTTAAAAATGGCTTACAACAAAATATTCGAATCGAATTAAAAGATTATAACAATTTAAGCACTGCTGTACAAGAAGCCATACAAATCGAAACAAAATTCAAAAAACATAAAATATTAATAGGTGGAATTACCGACATTACCCAAAACACACCTGATTCAACTACCGTTTCGGCAAATGTTAATAATATTTACAATTGTCAAATCTGTGAAAGCTACAATCATGAAGCTTTATTTTGTCACAACGGGTCATGCGTATACTGCAAATCTAACGACCATTTATCAAACAATTGTAAAGTGGCAAAATCAAAAATCGAACTCATATGCAAATTTTGCAATGCTAAAGGACACTCAATAGACGGTTGCAAATTTAACAAAATAAAAGGAAACCATTGCCAATACTGTCAAGTGATGGGACATTCTGTCATACAATGCCCATTCATTACAGAATACGAAGTATGTTGGAAATGTAAAGAAAGTGGACACAGCCCATACACCTGTTTAAAACCTCTTAAAACACCAGATCCTTGTGCGGCTTGTGACAGTACAGGACACACAGTATTGAATTGTCCAAATGTAACATGTAAACGTTGTA